TTGCTGAGCCTCCCCCGAAGGCGCGGATGACTGCGGACGGCTGGAGGGCTTCTCAGGAGCCCCGCCGCCTTCTGAGAAGGCCTCTCCCTTCTCACTTCCCCCCTTCGCTCGTCTCCGGATCACGGCCAGGGCCCTGGACCCCATGTTTCTGTTGCATGCTCTGGGCTGGGTCGATTTACCCGCCTTTTGCTTAGATGAGACATCACGCTCTTTTTGAATGATAAGCCTGGTAGTTGCACAAGAACAGCGACGTTTATGACTTCCAGCTGCCAGTGTTTGGTGACTACCAGTTGCCATACAAAAACAGCGTTGTTGTATGGTCACGTCGCCCGACTTTACCACGAGACGTTGCTTCGTTTTAACATATTGTCTCCACTCTCCCTCGCCCTTCGCTCTCTCGCCCTCGCCAGGCAGGCTATGCCCAGGAGCCCAGGGCCAGGATCGGATCGGCCCATCCCAGCAGGGGCTGTAGGACGGGGATCAACCCGTTCCAGAGCGGTCCAGACCGCTCTCGGAGCGTTCCGGAGCGCTGAGAAGGCCGCGGTGCCCCTCCATCGGGGGCGGCCAAGAGGGGGGTGATGGCTAGGGGGGGGGATATCATGGCGGGGGCCATGATATCTCCCCAGATTTCATAGCGTCCCCTCTTATTTCGTTACGTCCCCAGCCCCCGCCCTGGGCCGCGCACATGCCGCAGGCCATGATTTCCCCCCCCCCCCCTTAGACGCCCCCCGACTCCAGAGCCGCCCGATCTCACAGATTCTCGATGTATCGCGGCGTCACACCCACATATTGATACTATGTGTGCGTCGCCCCCCCAAAGGCGACGCGCGCGCCAAGCAATCTTCTAGTATAAGCTCCGTGGCGGGCGCTTTCTGGCCGTACCGATCGGGAAACGATAAACTACAAGATGGTTGTGCTATATGTTCGGGTTGGACGCGCGCCTCCGAAGAGGAAACACAGTACTAGCATGTCCTTGCGTGTCCGACTCTATTGCTCCGAGAGCGTTCCGGAACGCTCTGAGAAGGCAGCGGTGCCCTTCCAGAGCCGCCAAGACTTCAGAGAGTCTCGATATCTCGATGATCCTCGCCCGAGTTTATCATCGCCCTGGCCTCGTCTGGCCATATGCCAGGGCCAGTGCGGGCGCGCCGTCGGCGCCCTCCGCGGCCGTGCTGCACCGCGGCGGCCAAGACTTGAGGCCGAGGCCCCCGAGCAACAAAAGAGGCCTGCGGCGCCGAGCGGCGACTGGCGGGCCGAGTGGTGGCGGCACGCCCGTGGCGGCCCGCAGAGTACAGGGTCCGGCTCGAGTCGGGAACGCTTACTGTTCGAGAGGGGCTCGGTCGTTCTGCTGGTCTGCATGCGTTCCGCTACCTTTTTGGCGGCGAGCCCTCCTGGTGTTCCTTCGGACTTCCTAGACTTACTCGGAAAAAAGGTGTTTCGTTCTTTATTTATCTTTCCTTAGGCCGGGCCGAATGCTGTAGGGTTAGGTCGGGCCTGTCCCCCTACAGGGGGATTTTGGGCGAAAAATTACAAACAGTCCAACAACATTCCAAGAACACCACAAATACTCAAAAAATCGTCCCCGGTCTATTTCTGGACTCTTTTTGAATGTTGCTCCTGTAGGGGAGCAGGCCCGACATGAGAGTGGGGCCTCGACCCCAAAATGGGAAGGACCGCGGCGGGGCAGCCGAGCACCGTCTGGGGAGGCCGCCGGAGGCTGGCCGCTTCGGGGGCCGGCCGCCCGAAGACCGGGCGGGGGGCCCGAACCGGGGGGCCCGACCCGAGGGCCGCCCAAGGCCGAGGGGCAGCAGTTCAGTGGGGCGTGTCCCTCTACAGGAGGAATCTTCAAAAATAGTTAAAAAAAATCGTCAGGGGACGATGCTTTTCCATTTTCGCATATGTTTTTTGTGGGGGGAGGTACTTTTATTTTTCGTCCAAAATCTGCCTGTAGGGGGGCATGCCCGACCTAAGGCAACAGGGGGTCCACACAGTGTCAAGCAGTAGCGAAGCGTCCTAGCTCGCCTCTAGGCCTACCAAAGAATGTCCTAAGAATATTTTGTTTGGTTTGCACGAGATGTTCTGATAGAGCATTTCTGGCGGAGTCTGTCTTGTCTTAGCACATCGAGCTTGCGTTCTAGGAACAAAGTTTTGGTTATTAGAACATTCCTGGGTTCTAAGAACATGTCGTGGTAGGCCTGTAGAAATTCTGGTAGGGTCGGTCCCTGCTCAACAGTGGGGATGCGCATCAAGAAAGCATATCCGAAAAACAAAAACAGCATAACCATACACTGTTGCGCTCCGTGCGGATTTCTTGGATCCGCGCTAGGCCCCTCCTGCGTGGCCTCCGGCGCCGCCCCTGGCGCGCGGAGCGCGCCAGGGAGGGGGGTCCAGCGCGGATCCAAGAAATCCGCGCCGAGCGCCAAAAGTTTATGTTTATGCCGTTTCTCTTCTTATTTTTTTCTAGAGTAGGGATCGACTGCACAATTGATCGACTCAAAAACTCAGGAGGACAAGGTGCCAATACCGCTACCCCTTGCCTCGTGTTTTTTTGTTTTGATGTTTTGGTGTTCTTGGGAGGCCTTCGTCGCCACCGTTGGGTTCGCCTCGAAATCCAGGTTGGCACGCAGCTCTGTGGAGTAGCGGTATGGGTGCCCGTCGGTTTCCTCAGTGGAGGAAGTGATCGAGTAGGGGATCGACTGCAGAATGGATTTACCCCAGAATTGTTTTTCGCCGAATCTTTTAACAGGACGTAGTAAGTTTGATAGATCTACGGGCAGTCCACGTTGTTGCCGTAGAAGGGGTGGTCGAGTATAATGTTTCGTAGATCCACGGGGGTAGCCTCAAAGGGTCTTTCGTGTTAAGGGGAACCCCCTAAGCACTCGGTTTGGAGTAGAACTCGTCCTTCCCCTCCTTGTCTCGTCCTTCCCCTCCTGGCCCTCCCCCTTGTCCTCCCACGCAACGGGCGTCTCCGGCCAGGCCTGTGCGCACAAGGAGAAAAGGGAGGATAATGTTCAAGGAGGATGAGGGGGTAGGTCTTGCTACCCCTGCTTCGTTTTCGATTTTTGGTGCCTCCTGGGATGCCCTCGTGGCCGCCGCTGGATTCGCTTCGAAAGTCTGGTCTGAACTCCCCAGAAGGTCCTGTTATGCTGGAGGGCCCGGCCGCCGCGCGCACTGTCTTTTACGCTTCCTCAGCCTCCTCGCCGCGCGCGAGGCCGTTGCCGCCAAAAAAGTCTGTGTGTGTGTGTGTGCGAGCGTGCGTGCGTGCGTGCGTGCGTGCGTGCGTGCGTGCGTGCGTGCGTGCGTGCGTGCGTGCGTGTGTGTGTGGGTGTGTGTGTGAATGTGTGTGTGTGTGTGAATGTGCGTGCGTGCGTGCGTGCCTGCGTGCGTGCGTGCAAGCGCGCACATGGGCGCGGGCGGGCAGGCGGGCGGGCGTGCGTCGCGCACGTGCGTGCGTGCGTGCGTGCGTGCGCGGGTGAGCGGGCGAGCGGGCGGGCGAGCAACCATTCTGCGCGCGAGGAGGGGGTCCCTCGTGCGGCATTCCGAGCGGGGCGCCTTGAGCCCTCCCTCCTCCTCTTCCATCCCAAGAAGCAGCAGGGCAGTTAGCCGCCTCATCCGTTACCGACATTGTCGCCACGCCCGTAACTCCAGAATTCCCGGCTCTTCCTGCTCCGGCCCCCCCTCGGCTACGCGTACGAGTGACCCTTCGCCGGAGGGATTTGAGTGTGGGCCCACAAGGGGCCTCCCAGCACCAACCTGCACGCTGGGATGTCGCCCCCTGGCAGCCCCCTGAAGCGGCCATCGACAACGACGCCACATGGTGGGAGTTGGGCCCAGAACCTGCCATGGCGGAAGAATCACGAAGACCAGTCCTTGGGACACGTGCGTCGCTTCGCCCACTTCGGCAACTGCGACGCGCAAGCCTTCTGGCACTCCAGCGCCCCCGCCGGACCATCACAGGGCCGTTGCCTGGGAAGGTTTCCGGCGCTTCCGCTTCCGATTCTCATCTAGTCGGCCAAAAAACAAACGACACCCTCCATGTTGCGCTACGGCCCATCGGGGGCCGTTGCATCTTCCATGCAAAAACCCACGCCAGACGTCTTGGTATACGTTACGGCCAGTGGGGCCGTAGGTGGGGTGGTGCCGTTTGTTTTCTGGTCCATCTAGGTCACCCCCGACGGGCGCGAAGATAGTCGCGGTTCCCGCGTCGCGGCTTGGGCCGGAGAGTTGCCCTTCTCCAAGGAGGCTGCGCGATGGCGCGAAGATGATCTCGCGTCGCGCATCGCAGGGCGCGAGGCGCGAAGCTAGGTGATTTGCGTTAAAGTTAGCCAGTACAGCAAGGGTGAGCAACTTTCCAAGGTTACCGTTGCATCCATCCCATTCTGCCCATCCTTGGCCGCTTTCGCGGACCCCTTCTCGCTCGCAAAGTGCCGACTCTGCCTTCCAAGGCGCTTTGCATTCTTATCGTTCGTCCTCATTATGCGGGTTGTTTGCACGTTGCCTTGGCCCCTTTCTGCGCTCAGCGGCGGCAGCTTGGGCTCGACTTCGAGGAGTTCCAGGCCTCCTGCCGCTGCGCTGCCCTTTTTTTGGCCCCTCGCCATCGCGGGGGCAACGTTAGGGTTAAGTCGGGCCTGTCCCTCTTCTCAGGAGGAATATTCTAAAAGTCTGGGGACGATTTTTGATTATTTTGACCACTTTGAAGTATTTTCAGGGTGTTTGTTCAATTTGTCGCTCAAAATTCGCCTGTAGGGGGACATGCCCGACCTAACGTTAGGGGGAGGGCGAACAGGCTCAGGGGGGTGGGATGCCATCGACCCCCAATCGCCCATTCATCGCCGATGGGGGCCTGATGGCTCACCCAAGCCATGAACGTGCGGACTCGCTCCTCGGGGGTCTGTCGCCGATTTATCGGCGATTCATCGCCCATTCCAGGGCGATGTCCCCCCGCCCCCCCCCCGAGCGGGTGTCCCCTTGACGTTGCCTCTCCCAGCGGCCGCCTTGCGGCC